TTCGTAAGGTTGGTCAGTGGCTGGGCTATCCTCGAGAAGCCCTCGATAAACCTCTTATAGTATCCTGCTAACCCCAGAAAACTACGAACATCTGCAGCACTTCTTGGCGTATCCCATTTGCTCACAACCTCAATCTTGCTGGGATCCACCTCAATGCCTCGAGCTGTCACAATGTGGCCAAGGAATGCCACACAGTTCAGCCAGAACTCGCACTTCGAGAACTTAGCATACAACTTCTCGCGGCGAAGAGTCTCCAGCACAATCCTCAAATGCTCCTTGTGCTGATCGATGTCCCGGGAATAGACCAAAATTTCGTCGATGAACACAATGACGAACTGGTCCAGGAAAGGATGAAAGACCCTATTCATAAGGTCCATGAAAACGGCTGGGGCATTGCTGAGTCCGAACGGCATGACTACAAACTCATAGTGGCCATAACGGGTGCGGAAAGCAGTCTTAGAAATATCCGACTCCCGGATCTTCAGCTGATGATAGCCAGAACGCAAGTCAATTTTTGAATAGGCTGGCCGAAAAGGTCCTCAATACGGGGAAGGGGGTACTTGTTCTTGACTGTAAGTGCATTAACCTCCCGATAGTCAATGCACATGCGCATAGATCCGTCTTTCTTCTTTACGAATAGGACAGGCGCACCCCACGGCGAGACACTCGGACGAATAAAACCGAGCTTAAGCAACTCCTGGATTTGGGCCTTGAGCTCTTGAAGCTCCTTCGGCGCCCTACGATAAGGGGCCTTAGAAACGGGGCCGACTCCGGGAATTAGGTCAATGGTGAACTCCACCTGGCGGTCTGGCAGTCCTCCGGGTAAGTCATCAGGAAAGACGTCGAGGTACTCGGAAACAATAGAGACTCGCTCGGGTACCCGCTCATCAACATCGTCGGATACCATGGAAACAAGATAGCCTTGACAGCTACCCTTGGAAAGGCTCTTCCTAGCTTCCATAGAAGAGATGACCCGAGGCACAGTCCTCGAACTCACCCCAAAGAACACAACAGGCTGATTGGAAACGGGATAGAGGGTGACTTCGCGCTCCTGGCACCAAATATCGGCTCGGTAATGGATGAGCCAGTCCTTGCCCAAGATCACGTCGAAGTCTCGCATATCAATTACATAGACGTCGGCCTCCAGAACTCGACCACCAATACAGATAGGAAGATTGCGAACCACTGAATCAAAGATAATAATTTTTCCCGAGGCCAAACTAACCTCGAGAGGATCACAAGCGTGCACAGTGCTAATAGACAATGCCTCCAAGAAACGAGAATAAATAAAGGAGTGGGTAGCACCGGTATCACATAAAGCAAAAACAGGCACATGGGATATCGAAAGTGTTGGAACTCATGAGGATCTCGATATGCACAAATCACGGACAAACATTCAACATA